ACCGCATTCCAATGAGGAACCAGAGGTTTCTGTATGAACTGACTTACCACACTAACCGCAAATGAAATATCTGGCCGAGTAATGGTTAGGTAGTTTAGTTTACCTACAAGTCKTCRGTATCTGCCAGGGTCTTCAARCACTTCACCCATATCACTGCTCAACTTAGTATTTGTTTCCATAGGTGTTTCAGCTGGTTTAGCACCTAACAAACCTGTTTCCTCTAGCAGATCAAGCACATATTTCCTCCGACACAAATTAATACCGTACTTAGACCTTGCTACTTCTATCCCCAAGAAATATTTTTATTTATCAAGGTCCTTCGTTTGAAAATGTTCCTGTAGAAAAGTCTTCAACCTGTCAATGCCCATTTTATCATTYCCGATAATAACAATATCATCTACATACACCACCAATAGTATTTTTCCTGCCGGAGAGTCATGACTGAAGACGGAATGATCAACTTGGCACTGTTTCATACCAAACTTCTTTACCACCTCACTGAACCTGCCAAACCATGCTCGAGAAGATTGTTTAAGCCCATATATAGCCTTCTTTAGTCTGCATACCTAACCATCCTCCCCCTGAGCAACAAACCTTGGTGATTGCTCCATGTAGACCTCCTCGAGCAAATCACCATGCAAAAAGGCATTCTTGATATCAAGCTGATATAGGGGCCAATCATACATAGTTGCAAGAGAGATCACAACATGGACCGACCCTATCTTAGCAACTGGGGAGAAGGTCTCTGTGTAGTCAATACCATAGGTTTGGGAGTACCCTTTTGCAACCAATCGAGCTTTCAGGTGCTCAACACTACCATCAGGCAAATACTTAACAGTATAAACCCACTTACAACCGACAGTCTGCTTCCCAGGAGGAAGAGCGGTGAGGTCTCAAGTATGATTATGAAGTAGAGCTGAGAGCTCTTCTTCCATTGCACGACACCACCCTGGAGAGGCAAGGGCTTCTTGGACATTCTTAGGAACAACAATTGAGGATAACAAAGAGATAAACTGACGATGGGAGGCGGAAAGGTGAATGAGTGAAACATGATTAGAAATAGGATGAAGGGTGCAAGTGTGTTTACCTTTCCGCAAGGCAATGGGAAGATCAAGATCAAATACTGGGTTCGGGGCTGGTGTGGAGACAATTGCTGGATCTGTCGATGGTGATGGAGCCGGAGGAGTAGCAGCCGATACACGTGGGTGATGTGTATACACTTGACGGATAGGTGGGCGTTCAACAGGTGGTGGCACTGGAGGCAAGGACTTGGTCACGGCTAGAACAAGGGGAACAGAATCGACAACTGGAAGTGGAAGAGGGGGAGGTGATGAGGAAGAAGCATCACCGGATCCCAAGAAAAACGGAGTAGACTCAAAGAAGGTAACATCAGCACACACAAAGGAACGTCGAGAACTAGGATGGTAACACTTATACCTTTTATGAGTCCGAGAATAGCCAAGGAAGATGCATTTAAGGGATCGTGCATCTAACTTGTCATTCTCGGGGCCTAGATTATGGACGAAGCAGACACACCCAAATACCTAGGGAGAAAGAGGAAGATGAGACAAGGTGGGAAACAAATGAAGGGATGAGAGAACCATCATATGGATAGCCGAACCCTACAGGTAGGTAGGGCGAAATTTCAAAAAATTTCTCTCTCTCCCATGTGGGAATCACATTCTTTGCTTTAGAAAATCTGCATTTTCAAGGATCAATCTTGAATCTAAACCGAACTAGATCTGAAACCAAAAGGTAGGAGAGGGATATACCTGATACGGAGTAGCAGTAACTCCCAACGAAGGTG